ACCCATGTAAATTAAGTTCGGCGGTATTGTGGATCAATACCGCTCCAAATTTAGTGTATTTTTGTTGCATTTCGATACATATCAAAATTCAGTTTCAAGTTATGGGCCGATACCCATCCAATTTCAATTTGTTGCTTTTGTGGGTCAATACCCATCTAAATTCAGGTGTTGAGGTTCGATACATTTCCAAACTCAATTCGTGTTATCATAGGTCAATACCTTTCCAGTTTGTACTTAGTCCCAGTCACCCATTCACCCATCCATCCATCCGTCCATCCGTCCATCCTTCCATCTGTCCGTCCGTCCATCCGTCCATCCATCCATCCATCCATCCATCCATCCATCCATCCATCCATCCATCCATCCACTTGTATATGTCTGTGCGTGTGTATCGTGGAATGCATTGAAGCGTCGCTACTTCCGCGGCAGAGAGTGAGAATTAGTGCGTGCGGCCGGTAGCATCACATGTCCGACTCCGAACATTGCCCCCAAGATGTCTGTCGATTCGGAGAAAGTTCCCCAGCCAAGGTTTGAGGAGCGAAATCAGATCGACAGGTGCATCGGATCGGGGGTTGGCTGAAATGATTGCAGGGCGATTGAGCGGTTGCTCAGATATAATTTATTGTGAGTTTGATGCTGCTCTGTTGAATATTCCTGGCAAGGTTCATGTTGTCGTCGTTTTGTCGCATTGGGTCTGAGGCTTGCCGTCGCAGCTTCTGCTGCGAATGCAAAGATCAATGGCCCCAGTCCCTCGCAAGAGCCATTGCCATGATGGGCTTGAGGTTCACACAATGGACTCCTTTGGTTTCCTGATAAGCCGCACATTTAGTTCCTGCAGTGCGTTTCGTCTGACATCATTCTACAAAGCTCATGCGCAACGGAAATTACATTTGCAGATGACAGTAGCCCTCAAACACAGATTTTTGTTGGTGGTCCGGCCCCAGGATTTTCCCTGTCGGTAGCCCTGACATGTATACAGTCTGCAGATCGTTGGTGGCCACTGCGCAGAGCTTGATCCTCGAGCGCTACTCGCAGCTTCTGCAGACGAGCAAAAAAAAAACAGAGCGGACGTGTTCGGACCTTCAGTGTGGCACTGACCGATGCCCCTGGACCCACAGGTAGTATTCCAGATGCTGCTGGCGAGCAACTTTGAGAATAGTCTGAATTGAAAGTTTTCCGGGCTTCCCATTTGTACCTTCATTTCAACATGCCTGGCAAGAGTTGAGCGGCAGCATCCCTGAACTCCGCGCACCAAGTCTCAGATGAAATGGTATATAACTTAACTATGAGTCTCTTCCAGCTCATGGAATCGAGTCGTTGAGTAGCACTTGCCACACTTGCCTTCTGGTCTGAGGCCGCCTTATGTCCCCAAATAGTCTCAAACTGTTGCGAGACCTGCCCTTTAAATTACGAACTCCGGGCCGATCCCAGTCGCTACCAAGGCCTCAAAGAGTGCATTCTGAGCGGCCTGCTCTCTGTCCATGGCAAGAAGGCGCCCGGGCAGTGCCTCTTGCAGAAAGCCTTCTTGCGAGTTCCTGCCAACTCACAAGCTCTTTCAATCAAGGGCATGGGACTGAATTGTCGGCCAAGGGGACCTGAGGCACGCACAGGCTCGAAGATCCCATCCACAGGGGTGTTTTGGGGTATACTCTGCCAATCCTCCATGGCATGAGCCACTACTTCTCGATGCTCTCCTGCAGGTGTTGCACCTTGACAGGAACCCCTACTATGGCAGAGGCCTCAGAGGCAGACAGGCACAAGCCGAGGCGAATCCAGCTCACGTGCTCCCCGGAATGTTTCGGATCAAGGCCCAGGCCTGGGACCTTTCAACGTGCCCAAATCGCGGCTGTAAAGAGGTTGAGCTCGCCGCTCGCCTTGAGATCCGAGCCTTCCTGCCGCGGGTGCACAGAGCCCTGCAGAGCGACTTCGAATAGCGATGGAAGATCGTGCCTCGGCAGCCGGACCTTTTCTCTGCTTCGCCAGTCGCATGTCAGGGGCCCGCATAACGGCCGCCTTGCTGGGAATCATGAGCCTTGACATAGATCATGTGGCTTGCAGAGGCTCGCGGCTTCTCATTGGGCTGAACCTGGAGCCATGCCACTTGTCTGACCTTTTGCACAGACTTCTGGCGAGAGCCCCCCTTTCGGATTGGAGCGCACGCCTCAACGATCCAAAAGTTGGGGTGCCGTTGGGGTTGGTTCTGGTTGGTTCGAGATGTTTAAGCTTGGATCACATGGTTCGAAAGTTTCGCAACTTCTGCCGCCAAAGCCGAAGCAGCGGAGCCGCTCTCTGTTCTGCAGGCAGGGGACTTCGGCGGCTGAACAACCACTATGCTGCTTTGATCTGAAAAGAGCATGAAAGCGCGTTAGCTGCTGCAATACGGGTCGGGTTAATCGGCTACATGTAGTACTGTAGTTAGAATGCAGGATTGTTCTCGATGAAAATAATTACCACCTCCTCCGGCCAATCAGCTTTGTTTCCTTTCCGGGCAGCGTATATGCGCCGCAACTCGAGACCAGAACCTCCCGTGAGCCTTCGTTCTTGTCTGCTTTACTCCTAAGCCGCCCGTGACTTGGCAGGTCGTCGAGGGCTTTGGCGGAGCCGCCATAAACGGCAATGCAGCATTGGCTGCCGCACCGACGCGCCCTGCCTCTTGGCCTCAGAGAGGCTGTGATGGTAGCAGCTGCAACGCAAACTTCGCCAGCCTCGTGCGCTGTCGTCGGTCTGGGCGTTCCGTCTTGAGGCAGTTTCTTGAGAAAAAACGCAGCGAGTTGCAACCCACCCGCTGGCTTCCAGTGCTTTGACCCCGGGGCTCTGAGGGTCCCCAGCCTTTCTCCGTGATTGAGGGCACACCTTAAAACGGCTAGAAATTGGTCGCTGATCTGAGGCCCAGCCAAGTGTCAGGGCAGAGGACGCCAGGGAGCGGCCAGCTGATGAAGCTGATCTTTCAGCCAGGGAAACAGAGATGCCAGCTTCTGTGAAGTGAAGGCCCAAAGACCGGCGTGGGCCGGCTAATGCTGCATAGTGCAAAGGCCTAGACGTCTTTGGGTCTTCGTCGCCACGAGCAGCGCTTGGAGATCGCTTGAGGCTCAAAGGGAGCTGATCAGCACTGACACTGCCCAGAGAGTTGCCGGAGGCGATGGAGCCTGGGATGTACAGTCAGAGAAATGGAGACGAGCCGTTTCTTGAACGGGGTACTCGCAGTCTCGAAAATTCGGAGACTCCCTTCGCCTTTCCAAGCCCGACGGGAGAGACCGAATCAGGCCTGACCGGCCGAAGCTCGCGAAGGTAGTGTCATAGGTCATATAGTGTCAGGGGTGTGGTGGGGACATGCATCCCCACAAGATGTTGAATGGCACTGTTCAGACTCCGGGTACCCTCGATGTTTTCCCTTCAGCTCAGTTTGGAGTCATCCGTCGGGCAGCCGCTCCTATTGCAAGACTCATTCTTCCAGCCAGTGCTGAGACTGTTCTAACTGTTGTCATTGTGGCCGCGGCGCTGCTACCCGTCGTGTGGACCGAGATTGATGTTTCAATGTGTTTTAAAACGCGCAATCGCGCAGGATTCCTGGACCTGAAGTCCCATGGGTCGTTGATCTGATGCTCAGCAGGAAGAATTCAATAGCCTGAAGGCAAAGCACAGACTCAGACTCAAGGTCCTTAGCCCTGTTCAGGGGGTTTCCTGTAGGCACGCGGCTCAGCTGCACTGTGACCCTGTTATTTATATGTACGCGAGGCATGGGATTGGAACCTGATGGTAGACGGCATCGGATGCAGTAGAGCACAAGCCGAGACTACCACTGTGACGTAATCGCTTTTGTTTTCACTCCGCACCCCCTCACGCATGCCCTGCTGCTGCACCGACACGACAACGACGACGACGACGTACGACGACCACGACGACCCAAGTAGTCCCTGTGCTGGTTGTGCCAGCAGCAGCAGCAGGAGTAGAAGTAGGAGGAGTAG